ATATTGGATCTCAATGCTTTTAGTAAATTTGAACTGCATAAATGTATAAGGCAAGCGGCAGCATCCTAGTAACATCATTGACATGAGATATACTGATAGCTCGAACGGTCTTGGTATTCTTATTATCCAATTTTTTAATATAATTTCCTGTTATATATATTATCAAAGGCACAAAGTTCAATACTCTCCAGTAATATAAGAGCTCTGCTTGTGCATATGGTCACAGCAGTATTTCCTTCCGAAGATTGTGTTCTTTGACTATTGGTAATTCCTATTTTTACTTGCATCTTTTACTTTGTTTATGTCTACAGCTAGGAGATGAAGCACAGACTGCTTACTCGCATTTTCATCGAAAAACACATAGACACAGATTTCATCCTCGCTAATCTCCTATTGGAAATCTCTGAAAAGGAATTAACAGATTTCGCGAGATTTTGTCCTCGTCGCTTATTTTCTACATGGAAATTAATTTTGCGGTATTTCAGTGAAAAATTAGCATCAATCGCAGCTCGGAAAGAACGAATGCACGAAATACGAGCCCAGCTGGTACGACCAGTTGTAGATGAAACATTTCGAAAAGCTGAACAACAGCTTAAGTGAGTTTTTTTCACTTTTACAGATGTTCTCAGTTTTCTCATTTTTTCCGTTTTAATAATTTTTCTCAATTTTTCCGTTTTTCCTGTATTACAATTTTCTTTGTTCCTTCTTCCCCTCTCTTCGCCCCCGCCTCCTTGAAATTTATCTTTGTGTCTATTATGCGTAAAAAAGAGAAGAGCATTTTTTGAATTTTTTTTTAAGTTTTAAATTGTTTAAAATTTGAGAGAAGTCAGGAAACGTTATTTTTGGAATTTACAAGTACTGGCAGATTTTTTGGTAAAATTCAGTGTTTGTAAGCTAAAGAAATCTTTGTGGATGGACCCAGTCACATACAGGTTTTTGGCTTTTTGTACAAGGAAAAGATTATCAGATTAAAAATTTAGCATGAGTTTTCTAGGTCTAGTTTCTTTTTTCGAATATGCCTCCAGCATTCACGTACGCTTTTCAGTTCCATAACGGAGATGCGAAAATTGCTGGAGGAGGTTCAGGATAAAGGCGAACAACTACCGGAAGAAACGGCGCAAATGCTAGAGCGTCAGCTTGAAGCTGAAGAAAGTAGTGTTGGAGCAGTTGCTTCGGCTGCAGCAGCACTTCCAGATTCCGAAATACCGTTTGCTGAAAGCATCCAGGTATGAGCTGAAACTCGTTTCGAAATTTTGTTTTTGCTTTTTCTCTGTGAACGATCACGATTTCTCGTTTTTTTTCGTATCTTAGCACTTTTTTTTCTAATTTGTTCCACAACTTAACATTTTTTTCCGTGATTGCTAGCCTGCTAAATTCACCTCTTCATACGGGCGTTTTGGCTGACTATTATTTTAGTATTGTATTTTTCAGTTTGTAACTAAGTTTTGATGGTTTACTAATGAGATTTCATGAGAACTTGGCACTCTGCCAGGTACCTTGAAGCCGAAACGGGAACAGCGATAAATACTTGGCTTTTGAAATTTTTTTTTTATTTTGATTCTCTTCTCTAATTTCACTCTTTTTTATTTTTATCCCCATTTCTTCCTATCCGAAACTATACTACATTTTTTCTTTTTTCCAATTTTTCTTTCTTTCTTTTTCTACTTGCTTTACTACAAACGTCACACTGATTAGGTCTAGTTGTAGTGCTAAAAAGGAAGTGTATACGACTTGATGGACTGAAATGTTCCTATTCAGAGATTACTCCTCATCTCTTTCTTTATTTTCTTCCCCTTTATCTGCTGTCCCTCAGTTTCTTGATTCCTGACTTTCCTCGATTTCTTTGTCTATTGTTCCTCGATTCCTTGACTTTTAAGCATTTTTACAATTAAAGAATATATTTTACCCCTTTCCTTACAACAAAATAATCTAGAGATTATTTTTATTTGTTCTGTATTAATTTTTTCC